GAACTCTAAGAACCAGCTGGTTATGCAGTTTCTGTGTTCTTGATCAATCACACAGTTCTTGCTCTTTGTGAAGCAGGAATCTTATACCATGTTCTTCCATGGAATATTGATTCTTGTCTTGTGTTATTTAATCATTAAACTGATATTATATAAAAAAATACATTTTTATTTGCTAATTTGCTAATATACAAATGTAACTAAATGAGAATTCACAGCCGGTACGAATCGAGTACACACCAATTCAAGATTATAGCACAAACTTGTTCATCAAATCTAGTGTTATATCACATAATAAGGAGTGAGTAAGATGAAATAATTTTATTTTCAAACAAATAAATTAATTAGATCAAATTCATATTATAAAATGTGAATACAGGAGGATCTATTTCTGCACGAAAAATGGGCTGCTATTGGAGCTTACTAAGGCTGATCATCCAAGGTTATCTTTTTTTTTTTTTAAAATATGAAAAGGGTATTTATGCCTTTTCATAAACATGGGTAAATGGTATTTATGTCTTTTCACAATGGGTAGATGGATAAAGCATAGGAAGCCTCCTGGTGCATATGTTGTAGCCATAGTAAATGCACCTAAAATTAGGGCATAAAATATATAAATGCATAGAATGTATATTCTAGCATAATTTAGTTTATGTATAAACATTCTAAAGCATAGAATGTATAAATGCATTATGTCAGAATATTTTTTTGTTGACAACATATATATTTTATTAACCAGTATTACTAATGAGTAATGCATCTTATTCTTTAAGAATAGTATGGTGAAAGAATTCAATATTGATCATAGTAGATGAAGATTTGGAATCGAGTTCAACAACATTATATTAGCGGTAAATACGATATTTTCGAATGTATTCTATGTATTTTGTCATAATGTATACCGCCATAATAAAATCTATTTATTTTATCAGAATGTATTCTATGTATTATGTCATATTCTATATATTCTACCAGGATATATAAAGTGATAGTTAATTGCAAATAACATGTTTTTAACCATTATTAGTTTTTGTTGTAGTTATGATATGATGGCTGGAAGAATGCATTGAAGAACTAATAGGAATAACTTGAAGAAAGACTAAAGTTTGATCATACTCACAATTTTAAGAATATTGTTATTTTTTAAGAATTTTATTCATTTTTGTTGATATTCTTTTAGAATTTGTATAATTATATTAAAATGTATAAGACTTTTAATCTTTAAGAATATGTATGAATTTGTATTTAATTTCGAATGTATAAGAATATATTAGAATGTTGTTATTCTTTAATAATATTCTAATAGAATAAAATTCTAAAAACATCATTCTTAAAAAAATTACTCTGACATAATAAAATTGATTATGTTTATAAATTACGTTAGAATTAAAATTGAATTAATTAAAAAAATTCAGATTATTAAAATTTGGAGAATTAATTATTCCTAAAAATCCAAAATTTTCTTTTTTAAATGTAGTTAATTGTCCAAAATACCATTTTGCTAAATTTTGTGTGATTATATGGTACATGCAATCTTATTGTAATATTATACACTCTCAAATCATGTCCACTGATTAATTTCATCCGTTGGTCCACATCAGTGCATTCTAGTACACAATACTTAGTAAAAACAAAATAACCTAAGCATATATATATATATATATATATATATATATATATATATATATATATATATATATATATATATATATCGTAGGGTCGAAATGTATAGTGAGGTATCGAAGTCTATTTTGGTATATGTAGTGTCGAAGTCTTGTATTTCGATATGTATGTATTTTGTAGGGAAATGTTAGATGTCGAAGCATAATATTTAGTCTTTGCATATTTTTTGTACGTTTGTATCACCCTATAAATAGGGTTAGTATAGTTGTCGAGAGTAGCTCTTGGCATTTCGTTCTTTTCTCTCTCGTGTTCTTGTATACTCAATCACACGAATCAATGAACTAAACATATCTTATTTACATATGTGTTCTTAATGCTTTCTTTTATTGATTCTGCTCTTTATACTCTATTCAAACTCATTAGTGAGAATATATGATAATGACAATATGTATGTAAGATTAAACATATTCACATTATAATACAACTTATTCTCTTACTTATTATTATAGAATAACACTGTCCATACGTCTGGATCCGGTTCAAAGCCAAAATTTGATAGGAACTGCGATGACTATTCTCCGCCAATCATTTCATAAAGGGTACAATCATGAAACCCATTTATTTGGTCGTGATGCGTTAGCACGCGGCGAATGTGTATGGAACGTAATATGGACTCGAGGGAATAATAATACGCGACGAACTTCCATGGATCGTCATTTAAATGAGTTTTCCTTTTTTTCATTTAATTTGTTTTTTTTTTTTTTCGTTTTTCTATTATTTTTATAAATTTTCGTTAAAAAATTCAAAAAAAATTCTTAAATAGATATATGCTTAGTTTTAATGTTTTTTCATATTTTTTTGTTATTTATTTATTTTTGTTTGTTTATTTTTTTCATTAAGAAAAAAGAAATAAATTTATTTTTTCATTTTTTTGTTTTTTCTAAATATCTTTACTGCATACTCGAAGCTGGTAGAGTTTTATTTTATTTTATTTTATTTTATTTTTATTATTTTTATTTTTAACTAAATATCGGTTTGAGTTTTTTAATGTTTAAAAAATTATAACATTTTAAATAAGAAGAATATTAAGCATCATAATATTTTCCATTCATACTTTTTTTTAATCATATTATTTTTGGATCATAAAATTCTAAATCATACTATTTTGAATCATAACAATATTATGCATTGTACATTTTTGAATCACATTAATTTGGATCATAATACATTGAATTGAGTAAATTCTTTGTTTAATACAACATTTCGATCATTATATATTTTGAATTATTTAATTTTGAATAATAATAAATATAATAATTAAGGATCATTAAATATTTGAATTAAAATATTTTTAGATCATAACAAATTAAGGATCATAAACATATTGAGTTAAAATATTTTTGAATCATAAATATTTTGAAGCATCTATATTTGGATCATATTATGTTCAACATTATTTTTAAAAAATTTTAATCTTTTAAAATCAAGTTTAGTATATAAACCATCTTATTTTTTAAAAGTTGTTTTTACAAAGTAATTAGAAATAGTAACTAAAATTATTCTTAAAATTTCCAAAATCTTTGGAGAATTTTTTTATTAATATAACAAATAACAAAAATATTTTTTTTTCAAATTTTCATGATTGTAATCATTTTGAAAAGAATTAAATTTTAAAAGCTTTGGTTTTTTCAGATTTTATATTTAAAGAAAAAAAAAAGGTTATGACCAAAAAACTAAACGGTTAGAAAAAAAACACCAGCCAATAAGGGTTGGACACTTATCATGTTAGGGTAGGGCATGTGTCAGCTGCAGGAGAGGCCACATGGCCGGGTTTCCCTTTTACTTTTCTTTTTTCTTTTAATCTTTTTGCTTTTGTCATTTGTACCCTCTAAATAATTAACATTCCTCAAAAATTATCAAAATCTCGTAATTAATTGCAAAAATATCATATCATCTTGTGAAATTTTGACAATATATAAAATCAAATCCTACTCATTTAGTTTTTCAATATTAGGGCCAAAATAGTCATGAAGGTTCCTATTATTTTTTCAGTTCATGCTTGATTTTAAATGCATTACTAAATGACATGAATTATTACCCTTATGGAATGATGGAACATAACACAAAATTCATATCAAAAGTAGGTTAGAGAAAACTATAAAAACAAATGGATTTGGTATGTTTTCATCTTAAATGGTCCATTTCCGTGTTCACGTTATCGAATCGAAACCATGGTTTAAGTGATTACAAATATAAATAAAAACTTTTTTTTTTTTTTTTTTTTTTGTCAAAGTTATATGTATATAGCTAAAGTTCAACGGGCAACCATTTTGAATCATAAAATAAGGAACCGATCTTATCTTTAGATTTTCATTATTTTGGATGGAGTATATGCACTGGATTGTAATAAAAAAAAACAACTTATTTTTTTATTTTTTTATTTTATGATTAACTTTTTATCAACCAAAAATCTGAATATACCGAAATTCATAATTTTATATCTTCTTCCCATAGACATCATAGTGATATATGCAAAAAATGATTTTTTTTTAACATAACCCTCTTCATTTTGTTATATGTTTAAATATTTAACATTATTTTTTTATCAAAAAAATAACATAAATATATAAGAAAAAAATCATAATTTTCATACTTTTTAAATAGACGTTATATGGATGTAAAAAATAGCTTAAATTCACGGAGCGAATGCTGAAATTCTAATATATATATATATATATATATATATATATATATATATATATATATATATATATATATATATATATATATATATATATATATATATATATATATATATAGGTTTAGGTTTTATGGAAAACAAAAAACCCTAAAAATCATAAAAATACATAAAAAAATTCTTAGAGATCACAAGACTTTTTTTTTATAAAAAATCACAGCTTTTTATAAAAATTCGCTGAAAAAAAAAATAAAAAATATATTTTTTTTATTATAAAAAAAAAAAGTTTTTTTTTCAATTTTTTTTTCAGCGATTTTCTTTAAAAGCTGCGATTTTTTCTTAAATGTCAAAAAAAAGTTTTGTGATCTGTAGGTATTTTTTTATGCATTTTTATAATTTTTAGGGTTTTTTTATGGTTTTTTTGTTTTCCAAATAACCTCAGATTCACATTGCAAATCTAACGAAAAAAGTGAAAAAAAAAACTAATTTTTTTTATAACAATATCGATAACTATTAGTATTTATAGAGAACAAAAAATTAAAAATTTTGATATCTTTGTTTTTTTCTAAATAAAAAATACCTAAATATTGAAAAAGAAAAACAAAATGAATTGTATTCACTTTAGATTCAAAATACGAATAATAACAAGTCGAATTTACATTGTAAATCCTAAAAATTGAAT